ATAGATAGATAGATAGATAGATAGATAGATAGATAGATAGATAGATAGATAGATAGATAGATAGATAGATAGATAGATAGATAGATAGATATCATCATGTTGGATGTGGCTTGAAAATGTGCCTAAATAGGACGGCATAGAGCTGGGGCAGGTGGGCAAGCCCACCCGCGATTTCTACTCCCATTTCAGGTGAACCGATCCGAACCGGCTGAATGCCACCTCTGGTTCCCACTATCAGGAAGTTTCTCCTTAGTTCTAGGTTGGTTCTCTCCTGGATTAATTTCCATCCATTGCTTCTTGTCCTGCCTTTGGGTCCTTTGGAGAACAAGTTGATCTCCTCTTGGTGGCAGCCCGTTAGATATTGGAACACTTGTAGAAGGAACAATGATCCAACGAAGCCCAAACCTTTTTCTGAGTTGAGGTCATGGGTTCTATAGCAAGTAGAATCTTACAATGGTGACATTCAGGTTAAAAAAAATAGATGAGGTCAGTCAATGAAGCAACAAAACATCTGCTCCGTTCCTGGAATCTACCACGTTCATTAGGTGGCGGCATTAGGTAAAGATGACACCATGTTCATTAGGTAGTGCCAAGAAAAGGAAAAGGAAATGAAAAGAGCAGCTACTGTTGCTATCTCTGCAATTCAAGTAAAACACCCAACATCAGTGTTTCATTACCGTCTCTGCTCTCCTACACAAACAGCATCTGGGAAGCAAAGCATGGAGAATTGTAGTAAATAAAACCCCAAATTCGGTGTCTCTTCCAGTAAATGCCACAGTTATGGCTCCAGGCTGACAACGTGGTAAGCTGTCTTCCCATCACGGCAGAGCAAGAGGGCATGATGAGGACAAACAGCGCAAGGCGTCGGAGGTGGAGATGAGTTCAGAGGCAGGAAATTTTGAGAGAGAGAAAAAGGTTGGAAAACAAAAAAAAACAATGCAGTTCTGTACAACTTTCACTGGAAAGTCAGCTGATATTTGCAGAGTTTTGGGTTGCAGTTTATTTGCTGAAATAGCAATAGCAATAGCAATAGCAGGTAGACTTATATACCGCTTCATAGGGCTTTCAGCCCTCTCTAAGCAGTTTACAGAGTCAGCATATTGCCCCCACAGTCTGGGTCCTCATTTCACCC